TTTTCCAACTTGTATGTATAGTATATTAAGAATGGTTTCTGCATAATCGCAGTCGGACTTTTTTATGCTCAACCCTTTTTCGAAATGATTGGCAATTTATTGATTCGTCATGCGTCCAATGGTTGTCGTGATTTTCAGCCTAAGTTGTCCGCTTTGGTTCCCGGTCTTCTAAAAGCCACTCTTAGTCAACTAGCGTAGAGCGAAATCAAATTTTGAATTTAGCACATTTTGAACTAAGTTGACCCAACACCCAAGGCGTGTTGGACCCATTAGAAGTCCACCTTGTGTCTATTTGGCCCATTGGTTAATAAAAAGACAATCATACTTATGTGTTTAAATTTAAATGATGTATACGTTGTTTAGCAAATCATTGCCTCTTGGGGTTGAGAGTTTAGTTGTTTGTTCGAGTCAAAGAAGGATCAAATTACAATTGCATCTGAAGATGTTGGCATTCAGAGATGGCAAGAAGCTCAAGAATGAAGGACCTTTCATGGAAGCTCAGTTTAGGATTGTACCCCTTGCGCGGGACTGATTATTATGTATCCCTATTCAGTTTATTTGTAAAACTTGTATAAATTTGGGTTTACGGGGGCAATGTAATGTTTCAAATAACGTTATACATCCCTCAAACCATTAGGCCTACCCTTGGCACAAAAAGATCACATATTCGTTTAGAATACGAAATATTTGTTTATGTGTTATAATTGCTTGTGTGAATATGTTGCTTTATTTGGAGATATTCTAGTTCAATCCTCTTCGAATTATTTCTAAAAACCTTTATCAAGTCACTATCAAAAGTGTGTCCAAATATACTTCGAGTCTTAAGTTTCTCAACAAAATTCGAACTTCCTTTTTCAAATCTTACTTTTTATCTTAGAAAAAAAAAGGTTAACCCTTTACCTCAAATCAAAAGGAGATTCAAGTCTGTCGAACTACGTAGGGTCTGAATCCTCCCTCGTGAGATACGTAGGCAACCTTTCAAGGCTCGGTCCCCACTTTTGAAAAATTATATCTTTTCCAAAGAAATTAGAATTACACCTCAATCAAAATCAGAAGTACGATACAATCGACTTTGTCTCGACTCAAATCGACTTTTCTAATTCACTAATTCCAAAATCAAATAGACAAATTTCTGTCTATTTAGTCATCTCCAATATCTGTGGGCTAAGTTTATCTTTGAATGAAATGGCTCTTGTGTGCTTACAACTTTGTGTGTGATATCTTCTATTACCTATTATCTACACAAACTAACACATTTGTCTTTTGAGTTATTTTTCTTTGTCAGGTCTCAAAACTGATTTGTGTTAAGAAATTGGTTGAACATTAAAATTTCTCAAAGATTCCTTCTCCAATCGAAATTTGTTGAAAGGAAAAAGAAAAATGACCCAGAATAATGAGAATACTGGCCTGGCAGGAGTTGTTATAGTTCAACCTTCTGCCGTTGATCAAAACGAGTTAATTGCACAGTTGATGCAACAAATTGCTGAACTGAGGGTTGAGCTCCAGAAAAAGCAAGATTTTCCGATTTCGGTTGTTGATATCAACACTCTAGGCGATGGAAGGCTTCCATTCCATTTTCTTCCTCTGAATTCAAACTCAAAACATGTCCAGAATAACCCACCATCCAACCCCGCTCAAAATCCCTCAACTATCCACTTAACTACCCCAAATCTTCATCACACCAACACTTCATACCAAGCACCACTTCATCTTCATAGCCTGAATCCCAACCCTCAAGTTTTCCCTCCTTTTCAAAACCAAAACACAAATAACTCTCAGACATTCCCTCTTTTTCAAAGCCTAAATGCCAACAATCCTCAAACATCCCCTTTCATGTACCAGACCCCTGCAAAAGACACTCAAAATCCACCAAACGCTCAACCCTTACCTCCAAAAGTCACTTTTGATATCCCAGTCCAAACCGAACCACACATTCATTATGCTGCCTATTCCGAACTTAACCACTACGAAGAGAAGGAGAAAGAGTTGAGGGGCAAAGAGGAAAAAACTAAGCAAATCATGAAGGAAGAGATTGCAAAAGTGATAAAAGAACTTGATTACTTTTCAGAAGTTGTGGGGTTGAACTACAAAAATTTATGCATTCATCCGTATTTGGACCTTTCGAAGGGTTCAAAGTGCCAAAGTTCATCACTTTTTATGGAACTGGAAATACTCTAGCACATCTTAAAGCTTATTGTGATCAACTCGTGGGAGTTGACAAGAACGAAACATTGTTGATGCGCCTCTTCAGTCGAAGTCTTAATGGAGAAGCTCTAGAGTGGTTTACATCGCAAGAATTAAAACAATGGATGAATTAGAATGCACTCGCAAATGATTTCAATGAAAGATTTGGACATAACGTAGAAGCTGCCCCTAATCGCTACTATTTGGAGAAGATCAAACAGAAGTCTACAGAAAACTATCGAGAGTACGCTCTTCATTAGAGAAAAGAGGTTGCAAGAGTCCAACTACCTATGTCTGAACGTGAAATCACTGAAATGTTTATTCGAACTCAAAAGCCTGAGTACTATGAAAGAATGTTGTGCATGATAGGACAAAAATTTGTTGAGATTGTCAAGGTCGGAGAAGCTTTGGAAGATGGTTTCAAGACTGGAAAGGTCACAAACCTTATTGCATTGTGAGCTAACAGAAAAACTACCAAAATTATTGACATAGATATGTCAAAGGGAAAAGTAGAAAAGGTATCTGCGGTGACGTTTACCCATATGCAGTCGGCATCACAAAGGAAATATCGAAACCACAATGTCAATCAGAAACGATTCCCTCGTCCACACTTTAGGAAGGCTCCTAAAGTATTTACACCACTTAGGAAATCTCAAACTCAACTTTATGAAAGGTTGAAAGCGATGGGTATGCTTCATCCTATAGAAGGAAGACCAGTTAATCCTTTGGGAAAATTTTACATGGTTGATCAAAGATGTGCTTATCATTTAGGAGCGGTTGGACACGACACAAAGAATTGTTCAACTCTCAAACACAAAATCCAAAACATGATCAACAATAATTTGATCAATATTGAGGAAACCACCTCAAGGGATAACGTATTGGATGCTTAAGAGTAAGTGCGAGATTTTTCTGAATAGAGTTATTTGAAGATGTTCATCATCAAAGGTTGAAAAGAAGCATGCCCAGATTGGCCAGAATTTTGCATATGAAGTTATTGTTATTGTTATCTTTCTTTTGAAAATGCATATTTAATCTATTTTTTTCCAATTTATCGCACATTGCTTGTAATGAACTACGTTTGACCTGAATTCTCAAGAATGAGATACCTAGGCGGCTTGTGTAAGCCTCGGTCACCCCATCTACCCCATTTAATATTTTCTTTGTACTTGAAGTATGTTCGACACGAATTCTCAAGAATGAGATATGTAGGCGGTCTATGTCGGCCTCGGTCGTTTCCTAATCAAAATTTCCTATTTTTGTTAATGCTTGAGAGGGGGAACTACGTTTGACCTGATTCTTGCCTCAACATGATACGTAGGCGCCCCAACGACTCGATCATATTCCCCGTAAGATTTCTATTTCTCTTTATAATGGAAACTGGACAAAAATTTTGAGAGGATCTCAAAAATTCATTTGAAGATGGACTTTAGATTTGAGTGGATCTGGAAAAATTAAGATTAAATTTTCTAGAAAATCAAGTTTGCAACTGGGACAAAAATTTTGAGGCGATCTCAAAAATTCCACAAAAATGTCATTTGTTAAAAGACTTATAATTATTATTGAAGCAAACTGTGACAAAATTTTGAGGAAGGGGCCTCAAAATTCCAGAATTAGCAACCTCAGAATTAACAAAGAAAATTACAAGAGTTTCTCCGTATTTTAGATTGGGACAGAATTTTTGAGGAGGGTCCTCAGAAATTTCCATCAAGACTATCTTTAAAAGGATGAACGAGCGTGTAGCCAACTGCATGAATGAGCATGAAGACAAGACCAACACAAATCAGTCTTTCAAACTAAGATTTTTTCTTTAGATGCAGGAACATCAAAGTCACAAAAATGGCTGTGTAAAGCTGTCAAGTATAACAAAAGGCGTCATTTACACTCATCGTGGCCTCATCAACAGAACTTAGACAACTTTCCATCTCATTTTATCTTCATTTCATTATGTTGCCTCAAGTGATTTATAAACAGTTTCTTTTTGTTTTGCAGGAATATTGAAGACAAACGCTAATAGATTCTTTCAAAGTTTTAAGAAACAATATATTGGAGGATCGCTAGTGACGAGTCACAATCAAAGTCACCACTAGGCTCATCATAGCCTATTCTTGATAAGCCAAATGACTTAGTCTAACACTTTATCTTTACTTATATTCTTTACTTCATCGTCAATACTAATGTTTGGTGTCAAGCTTTGCAGGTGATAGTATCGGTAAAGTCAGGATCATATGTGAAATCGACATCAAATCTGAAGATGATCAAAAGTGACACTATCTTAGAAGTGTTCCAAGGGAATATCACCAGGTCCATCATATCAGAAAAGATGTTGGAGATCACTATATCCTCATGACACTCGAAGTTATCGAAACATTACAAGTTTTCGACAACAATTGAAGATGTCGGAAACAAACTCAAATTTTGTTGACTTTGTCAAGGAAGACGGGAGTGACTTTAATTTTTGTGTGAAGGAATTAAGTCATTCACCTCGATAATTCTATTTTCTTAAGAAAAATTCATAGTTGCGACGTGCATAGACGTCGATATAATTTTTTTTAGTATGATTGTCGCGTAACAATTTAGGCATATGTGTTTCTTGACAATGTTAGGGTCAAACTTTCAAAATTTGTTGGGTATCCACCCCATAAGTGGATTATGTGTTTTGATTGACTGATCAAAGAATTTAGTATATAGTTTTATTGGGCGAGCCACCCCATAAGTGGTTCGTATATTTGTTTGTCCATTTCAGGTTCTTTTTTTGAACTATATTGGACTATTATCGAGCCATCCACCGCGTTACAGTTGGAATATTATCGAGTCATCCACCTCGTTACAGTTAGAATATTATCGAGTCATCCACCTCGTTACAGTTGGAATATTATCGAGCCATCCACCTCGTTACGATTGGAATATTATCGAGCCATCCACCACGTTACGGTTGGAATATTATCGAGCCTCCACCTCGTTACAATTGGAATATTATCGAGTCATCCACCTTGTTACATTTGGAATATTATCGAGCCTCCACCTTGTTACAGTTGGAATATTATCGAGCCATCCACTTCGTTACAGTTGGAATATTATCGAGCCTCCACCTCGTTACAATTGGAATATTATCGAGCATCCACCTCGTTATAGTTGGAATATTATCGAGCCTCCACCTCGTTACAGTTGGAATATTATCGAGTCATCCACCTCGTTACAGTTGGAATATTATCGAGTCATCCACCTCGTTACAGTTGGAATATTATCGAGCCATCCACCTAGTTATAGTTGGAATATTTTTTAGCTTCCACCTCGTTACAGTTGGAACATTATCGAGTCATCCACCTCGTTACAATTGGATAATTATCGAGCCATCTACCTCGTTACAGTTGAACAATCATCGAACCATCCACCTCATTACAGTTGGGTCATTATCAAGCCATCTGGCTCGTTGCAGAGAACATCGAGGTTCGCCATGCAAAAAAATAAGCAATGACATCTCCAAATCCTCATCAAATCATGAGTTAATGGACATACGATGTTCGAAGGCGGTATCCATTATCTTTTACCTTCAATACTTCTTTATTTTCTCATATAATTGAAAAAGATGTTTATGCTTATCCATTAAGATATTCTCATTTATTATATGAATGATCTTTCTTTATTTTTTGATTCAAGTTGCTAGCTAAAATGACGCTATGTCTACTAATTATTTACTTTGAGTGTGCAGACATATACTAAACATACCTATATGACATCTTTCAAAGCAAGAGTGATTTTAACACACCAAGACAATGGAGTATCCACAGAAACTTGCAAGAAGATAACTAAAAAGTATCACAAGAGATGCTACCATTGTTTTCAATTACAGTTTCTACTAACAAGTTTGTTTCAGTCTTTGTCGAGAGAATCCAAGAGGATGAATTTTCAAATCAAACCACAGGTGCGGACGACATCAACAAGGATGCAGCACAACGTGGAACTTTTTCTTAGCAGCGAACTTGGACATAGTCCGAAGAGGAGTATCAAACTCTTAGGACGCGAGCTGAGGAACGACTTCCACCACAATCAAACCACACACCTATCAGAAGGCATGTGGGTTTTTCTTGGAGTTTGTTAGTTTCAGTTTGCATCCGGAAAGTTCTTGGTGTTAACCGGAAGCGAATTTCCAATCTGAGTGGCAATGCACCAAGAGCTTTGGAAATTATGTTTGTGTAAGTTCTTACTTATGGATATGAAGAGCTCCGCATTCATGGCTAAGAGGTTGCATGCCTCTTTTTCATACTCGACTAACTTATCACTCCTCCAGAATCAAAGGTTATCTTGCATAATAAATTTCCTTTTCAACCGATCGAGTCGAACTACAAACAACCTGATTCCTAATGTTTAAGGATGTGTAGGCGGGCTCAATGTTGAAAACTCGGTTGTACTCCAACATTCTCTTGTAAATCTTATTCTCGAGCATTTCAATCCATTCATAGTTCGATATCGGGATAACTTTTGATTTCTTTCAGAGTCGTGCGTTAAATCAAGCATATCGAACTACATGTGACCTGAATTCTCATATAGCCTGAGATATGTAGGAAACCCATTTCCAGGGTTCGGCCATAATTCCTAAAGTCCTTACCAAAATCCCTTTTCAGAAAAGATGAAGATGTGGTCGATCAAAATTGGATTTGTCAATTTCATTTGCCTCAAATTTCTTTCATCAATGAAAGTTGTTGACACCCAATTTTGACCATCCACGATAGAATTAATTTTCGAGCTTCTTAATTTCAAACGATTTGAAAAAATTAATTTTATAAAAATTCAAATATTTTTCAAGTTATTCTTCAAGTAATTTTAGTCATTTTATAAATTTTGAAATACTATATATGTTTTATATAATTACGTATATAATTAGTACATCTTATGAATATTCGAAAATCGTCTCAAAAAGATTTTAGTTTTATCTTAAACATTTGGTTATTTAGTTTAGTTTAAATTATAGTTATATTTTCAAGATAATTAGTTTATAATTTTGTTGTTTGTTTTATTTCGTTAAGATTAAGAAGTTCGTTAATTAATTAATATTAATTCGTCTTATTTAGGTTTTAGCCGAATTTATTAATTTAACTCAATTTGGCTATTTCTTAAACTCCAAGATCTAACCCCTCTTTTACTCCTTAGTAGACCAAATTTTGGGCCATTTTTCCGTTCAATCTACGTAGGCCACTATATTCCTCAAGCCCAAAACCTCAATTCCTTCAACCCAACCCCATTGTTAATTCCCAGGCCCATTCCCATTCACATCTAAAAGAAACCAGTGCACATTACAACAACAATACGTACAACATACCAGACCCCGACCCGATCCACTTCTCAATCAACAAGAGAACCCAGAAGATTCACGCTTAACAATAATTCAAAGAGAAGCAGAAGGCGCCTTCACGGAAAGTAGTTCAAGGCGTCTACGTGCGCATACCAACTGTATTCTCGTCATCTTCTCCTCTCTCCCTCGCTAGTAAACTCGTATAGAAGGAGCAGTTCGTTTTGTCCTTCCTAGCGTGAGATTGATCCACGTATCCCCTCAAGGATAGTCAATTCAATCGAGGCCGACCACCTTGCCTTCTTCCCATTGGAATTTGCTATGATTTGGCATCAAAGCAGGATATTCCTTCAGTTTTTTGGAATTCAAAAATGACCCGAAGTCTTATCTGATTCCTTATATTTTCCCCCCAAGACAACCCTAATACCTCTTCTATAAAAGCTCGTGTTCCTCTTCAGTAAAATCGGTTGGAGAATATATGGAAAAGTTGGAGATAACTCAGAGGGGGGAAATTTCATTTTTTAGGTTTCGTATCCTTTGGATTTCATCTAAGAAACGGTGACTAGAATTACATATAGGAATTGATTCTTAAAAAAAAAAAAAAATGGGCACTCATTAGAATAGAGGCAAAACACAGTTATATAGGTTCTCAATAGATATTTCGACTTCTATAGTCATTGAGTTAAGAGCTTCGAATATGGAGCTCTCGTCCTAAGCTCTCTGTTCTTTTTCGTCAGAAACTTCCATTGGAGTTCCTTTCACGTGGTGGTGGAAAGCTTTTCAACTCGTCGTCTCAATTCTACTGCTTCGAAGAAGGTAATACCTCCTTCATCATTTACATTTTATTTCGATTCCAAGCGCTATGTGATGAATCTGTTTTCGGTTGGGTTTATATGGCTTCATTCTTGTTTTCATCTTTATTTAGAACTTCTAACTGATCATCGTGTATTTGTTCTTTGTCGTAAGCTATTGTATGATTCAACACATATAGTCGTGTGAACTTATTTTGTGTTTTCCTTTTCTCCTCATTTCGAATATGTTTACTGAAAAAAGCCTAGGCCTCTTAGTTATTGGGAGATAATTGTTTTATTTTTAGTCTTTGAAATAGCTTCATATCTGTGTGATTTTGTCTCATAGTTGTGTATGTCTGACTGTCTTATTCGAATTATTCAGGTTGCTTGTTGCAGACTTTCTTTAATGTTAGCTTAAATCTGCGAATTTATAGTTGAATCATGCTGATTTTCTCTCTTTGAATATTTGTTTTCTATTTTGAGGACTCAGGATTAATAAATTGGGGTCGAGTTTCTTCAAATTTGAGCTCATTTCAAGCCTGCCTGTCCTCTTTTTGGCTTAGTTCTAGTTGTGTTTGTCTTTGTGTTGAGTTACATAAGCAATGACCTGGTTGTTTAGAGTCGTTTTAAACGCATGGCAGAGTCATGTGTTTATTTAGGCAATACTATGTTTCACTTAGTTTATTGTCTGATGTCTATTTGTTGGCTTTGTTGGTCACTTTTCTTTTCCCTCAAAGTTTGATGCATTGTCCAGTAGATCTGTAATCTTAATGCCACTATCTAAATCTTTCTTGGTTGCCTATAGAGGTCCTAAAAGATAGAGTCAGTTCTTATTTTAAGTTCTCTTATGTTGGCTGCCTTTTCTTTATCTCAAAGTTTCTTATATGTGCATGGATTAAGTGACTAGTTGATAGTAAGCTTCAAGGATTTAGTATTCTGATCATTCTGTAAAATTATCTCAAATGTCATCAGAAGTTGGATCTTGGAAATTTTGTGGAGCATGAGTTTTATTGAGTTAGACCTTTGTGGTTCTAATGTGCTAATGTTAATTATCTCTCAAGTTTGACATGAATTGTTAATGATCAGTAGAGTTATTTGTTGCCTATGCTTCAGTATGAAGATAAATTTTTCATTGGATTAAGGAGATTGAAGCTTTATTGTTTATTGACTCGTCATCTGTTTCGTATACTAATCCTTATTTCCTTTTTGTTGAATGTGAAATTTGCCTTGAGTTCATCATGAACTCATCTTCCTCCTTTGCATTTCGAGAGAGCCGTAAAGGCTCAATTCCTTCCTCTATTGAGTCGGAGAGTAAGAAAAATTGAAGAATAAGTTCTGAAAATCGGCGTACAGGTGTCGGAGCAGAAAGAAGGGATTGTTTACGTGTCGTATACAGCTATATACATAAGATATACAGTGATATACATCCAGTTTATACGTTGTATATTGGAGCAGAAATGGGCCTGAGAATCCCCAAATTTCCATCTTTGTGTTTTGTTGCAATTGGGCCAAAAGCCCATTTATTTTTAGTATCATATGCTAGTTTTAGGACAGGTGAAATTGGGCCTAAAGCCCAAAGAAATTCAGTTTTTATGATAGTCTAGGACAGGTGCAAAATGGCTAAAAGGCCCAAAATAGAAATTAGGCCCAAGTACTGGCCCAGGCGAACAGAAAACTAGACTTGGGCCCAAAACTAACTCTTTATTTTATTTGTTTCATTTTTGTTTACTTGTTTATTTGCTAGTCAATCTTAAGATTTTCCTAATTCGATTTCCCCAAAAGATAGTCATTTTTGAGATTTTCTAAAGACAAAATAATTTTACTTATTTTATTATTTGAATAAATATTTTACTTAAATAATCCCTTATATTATTTCCCTACTAAAAAATGTCTTTTAGTCTTAAAGTTTGTCTATCTCCTAAACTTGTTTAAGCATGCTTATTATTTTTTCAAAAAAATCAATTAGCCAAATAGTTAATTATTGGATAACCGCGTGTTAGCGTGCATTTCAGGTGCTTTTAAACCCTTCCTGAAATGCTAATATGAACCCCGAACCCTCTTTTAATATTTTCATTAGATTTCTGTTTTAATCTTTTGGAAAAAAAATAGTTTTCTGAATTTTACTTTAAAAATTAAGTGGCGACTCTTAAAACTCTGTCGTATTCATTTTTAATTAAAACTTATATATGTGTGTACCTAATAAAAAGAAGCAATTTCAAATAAAATTCGATTATTATAAATAATGACGATTATATAAAAGT